CCCCTCCTCCGCTCCACCACTGGTGCCTCAGTTCCCATGACGATAAGTGGCTGCTTCTGGATTTTAACTCTCCGCTAGAATCGAGGCCAGTCGGCCAGAGAGAGGATCAATAGGATTATTGTTGCGCTCGGGATGGCTTGTCTTTCCAGGAAGTTAGTGCTGCTGCAGGGGTCTGATCAATGACACTGACAGAGGAACTGACAGAGGCCGAGTCATTCATTCAGAGGGAGGCGGGGGAGGGAGGGAGGCGGGGGCGTCTGGAGCAGGAAGCAGCGAGGGAGAGATGTAAAGAACCAGAAAATGCAGAGGAGAGATTTTATGTAAGAGATTTTGTAAGAAAGTGATCCCGGATAATCCTGATTAGGCGTCCACCAAGAGAACATGACGTACGATGCAAAACAGAGCTCACAAGCATTTTGGATAAATCAATGGGAAAAAGGGCTGCGCGCAAAAAATTACTTAGTGTCATTAGATTAACTGATGTTGAAATTGCGATATGGTCCGTGGTATAAAAGGAAAATACAATTTTTGACCTATTATCATTAAAAGATACATTAGAAAAAGATCATGGTGTGATATTTTTTCGACCCGAACCAATCAAGGATTTCTTTGTTTAGAATACTGATAATACGCACTCTAAAGACTTAGCCGGGACCTCTTTGTAGCACTTGAAAAGTAATTAAATAGTTCTGATTATTGTGCCTTCACCAAATATTGCCCTTTCTGCAATTTGCATGTTTTTAAAAGATCTTTTAAATAAAACGTAAAATAATTGTGCAGCCCTATTTTGAGTATTTAGATCCTTTACTGAAGTAAACATAATAAAAGCACACAATCAAAGTACTTGATTACAAGTGAATGTACTGCTGTTAAAACCTTACTTCAGTAAGAGTCTGTAAGTTATTTTGGTTTAATATAGTCTTAGTGCAGTCAAATTTTCCCTGTCAATGTTTAACGATTATAAATGATGTTTCTGGGTGTCAATGTGCATGCTGTGTCAATGTGCATGTTTAAGGTTTAGCTCATTTAAACTCCTTAATACAGTGCTGGTTATTTTAGGCAGCAGTTTATAACAGCAATGGATCATAAACTAATTGTAAGTATTGAGGCATTGTGTTTCTCTGAGAAATAGGTATACAGAAAAAGTCAGTTTCTTGAGAAAAAAAAGGCCCTGTTTTTCATAATTTTGACAGTGCATTTTCCCAGCTGATCAAAAAGGCTGCTTTTTAAAAGTGTATTTAGATTCAACTTAAGTAGGAAGATTAAAACATATAAAGGAACATATTATCCTTCATGTTATTATACATTCCTGAAACCAACACATCTGGAGATACAGGGTCTTCAGGGGTGATTGAAATTGCATTTTAGAATATAACTACATCTGTCATTAAATGTAGTGTAATAAAAAGTGTATAGTGTAGAGATACTCCAGTAAAGAATATTTGAACTTGTACTTAAGTTCAGAACTCTGCTTAATGTACTTAGTTTTTTCCACCTCTGTTCGGTTCTCACGCGGAATCTGTATCTCATTTATTTTGGTGGGAACCGCAGAAAGAGCAGAAGAACAGTGACAGGAAGTGACAGGAATAACAGCTAAAAGCTTGTCTATGACAAACACAATTGATCCTCTCTCGTCAGCACTTCTCCTCTTAAAATGAAACAAAAATAACTTTATTTTGCAACCCCTGTGAAGTCATAGTGTGCATTTCTGTAGAAATATACTAATAGATACACTTGTTCACATGCACACACTGACACTGACAGGATGTGATTTGTCAGACGGGATGTAATTAGAGGAATTGTGTTTTTTGACTCAAAAGGGAATTTCCCCTACTCGTTGTGTCAGAATCAAACACACGCCGATAGACAGACATAAAGACAGATAGATATAGAGAAAGAATGTTATCACATGAAGTGACACACGCCTGTAATGTCAGTCACAAGCCACCTAGCTTTGGGCAATGTAAAACACACACATACGGTCTCTCTTTCTCCCCCCCAAGGTATGGCAGCGTGTGACTGAATGATTTCAAGATAAAGACAGACTGGGCCTCTTTAGCTACTGATGTGAGAACAATACATTTTAACCATTATGTGATTTTTAAATGTCCTCTAACATGCAGAGACACGCAGAGGCATTTTCCCCACCAATTCTCACATTTATTTAAGGTAGACTTTAAGGGGAAATGTATAGCAATGGGAGATGTGGAGGTTGTGAGAGGGAGGAGGGAAGCAATCACTGATGCTTTCATTTCTAGTCTTTTCAGTTTGTGGGTTTCAGGTATGGTAATTGGTGATTATTTTAGGCTCACTCATTTATCACTTATTGAACATCCAAATTATATTTTACTCTGAGTTCTACATGTCTTCTTTGTACGACTTAAAGCTCATGACTACACTGAAGTTGGAAGAATGACTTCCCTACTTCTGAAATGGCCCTATCTAAGAAGAATGTGAATGCACCATGGGCCTTGGAGAATGTCTGAGTGCTATTCTATGTATTATTACCTGGATCTGGGGCATAATTATGCTCTAAACCCAGCACATCATTAGGGGGCTTTTGGGGATGTAGACAGGAAGTTTAATGTTGCCATGGAGCAGGTCAGCTATGGGTTACATGAGCCATTTGTTTTGTTTTGTCTATATTTGTGAACATTTTTGGTAAATTGACATTATTAAAAGTATGCCAGATTACGTAAGCAGTTCATGTTTGGGAAGGGGAGTGTCACAGTTTAAAAAGACGTCATTATATTACATTAGATGTTATTAAGTGGACGATTTGTGTCCAAAGTGACCTTCAGTAAGAGCAATAAACCATAAAGATACCAAATCAGTGAGAAACTTGCAGGTATATTTGCTTTTTTGAAGTCCCTGTAGGTAACAAATGTATTCTTGTATTCTTATGCCATATCTTTTGAAATTCTGTTTGTTAAAACCTAAAAGTGGGATGCTTTCGGGGAGCGGTACTTACGCAGACTTTGAACGCCTGGACGGTGTTGTCCAGCAGCAGTATGTTGCACACAACCTGTGTGTGCTGCCTGTCTCGCTCCAGCTCCGACGCCCGGACATTGTAGGATCTGCCAGCAGGCAAGTGAAAGCGCGCGCTCATCACGCTCCTACCAGGGTCTGCAAACAACCAAACACACAGGAGGACTGATGAGTGAGAGAAGCAAGAGGTCAAACAGGAAAAAAGATTACAAATAAAGCATCACTGTACCAGTCATTGTAATGTTTACATATAATAAGCCCATTTAGGTGAGCTAAAGCCGGAAAAATCTGTCTCCAAACAACACAATAAGCCAATGTACAGAACGCCATGATGTATTTTTCTACCCACTGCCTTGGAGAAGGCAGCCACACAACGAGGCAAGCCTGTACAAGCAGCAAAGAGCGACTGCTTCATGAGAAAAGAATGTCAATGAGTAGGCAAGCAGCAGATTCCCTACCAGGGGACGTGGAAACTGTGCAGCAGAAGAGCCCTAAATCACTCAAAAGCTACTATAAAATGAAATGAGGAAAAACATCTTTGGAAAAGAGCTAAAAATGTTTCAATCCTCCATGTGTCATTATGTCAACATGTGATTGTTTTAATAAAAGGGAATTTTGCACAAAATAAAATGGATTTTGGGTCGTGTCAGTTGCGTTGTGTGATACGATACTATTTTGATTATGTTACACAATGGCAGTGTCTGGCAGATTGTCAACTGCTCGCATGTGGCTCAAATCCAAGTTTACACAGATAAATAAAAATGACCTCTTATACTTTGCAGTATATTTTCATTCTGCAAAATAAGAATTAGTAATAACAATAACGTATTGTTTATCCAAAAGTCAATGGATGTGACATAAACTAAGATGTCCAGTGGGATTTTTAAAATTGTATTTGTATTGGCATATGCTAGGTATTAGCATTTCATGTAATTTTTTGTAAACCAATTATTATGTATTCCTTTTTTTTGGTATGGGTTACGAGTTACAAACCATTTACTGTATAAGTGAGTTTTAAGGGTGCTGGTAGGCACATTTTGTGACTGCTGGCCAGCTGTTTCCACCCTTTTCCAATATGTATGCTAAGCTAAGCTAACAGGCTATTGGTGCTAGCTTCCTATTTAACCTACAGACATGTGAGTGGTATCTATCTTCTCAAAACTCTCAGCAAGTAAAACAATAAACATACTTCTGAAAATGTTCCTATTCCTTAAAAATAATTTACGTTCAGTTATTATTCATATTACATTTTGATTGTGTTATGATTAGGGGTGCACCGAATGGGAAATTATTGGCCGAAACCGATACCGAAAATAGGAAACAGTTGGCCGAAAACCGAATGCCGAAAGGCCGAAAATGATTAATAGAAATATATATATATATAATGTATACATTTTTTACCAATGTTGTTCAGCTGCCTGATTATGGAAAAAGACATGATTATGGCAAAACTTAACTTAAATAATAATCACTATTATGGGTCCATAAAACATTTATTCAGCACTTTTGAATGCATACAGTACATTAATTCCAAGTCAAGTGCATTTTCTTTTCTCTGTTGGATAACTACAANGTTGTAATAATATAGTCAAGACAAAACATGCTTATGACATGCTCAAAAACGGATATTTCTTAAATCTGTATTCAAATGTAGTTCCCTCTGTCAGCAATGTATCAACAACTACACACACATTTCTATCAGTATTTCTCTGTGTTGTGGTTGACATGATGATGACTGTTAGGAGTTAAGGGGCGAGGCTGAGCATCACCATGAAATGTGCAAATTGACATAAAAATGAATAAAAGGGGAAAAAATGCTCCATGTTTTTTAGGCTGTAAACTTTAACCGTTATGTAAGCCAACTAGACAGACAGTGTATCACTCTTCCTCCTGTACATTAGCAGATACAAGGCATAACATACTTGAATGAATGTTAAATAAAGAATGCTGGAAATAACTGCATCTCCATTAGCCATATGCTATGCAGAGACTGCCTTCTTCATGTCGTGAATTGCAGCTGATGTTTTAATATGGCAATTGGCAATTTGACTTATACAACATTCGCGAGTTGTACATTTGACTCATACAATAACCCACCTTCGAGTGATGCTCTAGTTTCTTCATTTTTTGTGCCGGACTGAAACTGTCTTTTCACTGACATCTCTTCACCTGCAGTAGTGGCCGTATCAAAGCCATGATTGGTCAGATCTCGATTCATTGCAACGGTGTCGGGTTACAGACGTGCTCCCCTAGTCACCTCTCACTCTCACTCTCACTCTCGCGGGGGGTTCGCGGAGAACTGGGCGCAGCAGCTGAGGCCCTCTGGGCGGAGCCCCCTGCACAAGGCGGGGCCCCATGCAGCCTGCGTGATTGGCCTGTAGGGAGGGGCGGCCCTGTGTGTGTGTGTGTGTGTGTGAGTCTTGACCCTAAAGCTTCCCTCGGTGGTGGCCTGCTCTGAGCTTATTGCAAACACAGGCGGTTCTGGAGCCTTCCCGTCTGTACACAGGAATACACGCCCTACGTATATATGAACACATCCACTGAAACAAACTCAAATGCGTAAATACAGAAACACACACAGGTTATCTAACATCCAAATCAGGTTGTGTATGGCTCCCTAAATCAGGACACACAAACAAACTTTCCAAAAGTGTTCCGAACATTTACCTACTGAACTCCAATTCTCCCCGCAACATTCCTTATTTATACAAACAGAAAAAAAGTCTTCAAGGGAAAATGTGCAAAGCAGGCAACATCCGTTCCCAGTTCGAATATGGGACAATGAATGAACTTCATCTGCCCCTTACAATTCTATTTATTCTCCCAATTTCTTCAAAAGATGTGCTATGTATGGCTTTTCTGTCCCTTTGTGGTGCTTAAAAACAATTGAAATAGGAGGAAAGGAGTTAGGAATCCCAAAGGAATTACACATCAGCGCTCCGCAGTGTTTCATACGGTGGAAAGTAGGCCACAGACAAACAGGTGGTCAATTACAGATGTGTGCCATTGTGTGTGCGGAGACAGCTTGTGACTGCTGTAAGCTCTGATAATAAATGATTGAAAAAACCTACTTTAAAGCCCTCGTAGATCTTTCTGTCTTTCTGCGTATGATATTGAAATAAGAACATATGAATGAAACAATATAACAGAATATATATATATATATTTTTTTTTTTTGCACTTTCAGTTTTGTTTACACAAATGAAAAGTGCGCTTATAAATAAAATATATTATTATTATTATTCTTAGACTGCAAGAAACAAAAAGACCCATCTTCTTTCTACATGTGCCTCAATAGAGTGCAGGAATCAGTCCCATAACGTGTTATTGACCACTTTTGGTTCCCTCGTCTCAAAGTTTTATATACCCTACTTGTGGATGTCTAAAGCCAAGTCATTTGTCTTAAAAGTCACTTAGCTGTCTTAAAAACGACAGTTGCTAACAAGTGACTAAATGTTTGAGCATTGGGAAAAGCAATTTATAAATATTATACTATTATCATTATCAAGTCTGTGGCAAAGATTTAGTTTTGTGCAATACTCCAAAAATCCAATTGAAAAAGTCGATCACTTTTTGATGAAGGAACCATTGCTATGCTAACTTCCGGGTCGGACTGCAAAAATAAGTCAAGACTCTATAGACCCTATACCACTCATTAAACTTCATCACCCTTTCAATATTTGGTGTTGGACCCTTTCCCCCCCTCAGACTACCATCCTCCTCCTCCCACATCCGACCACCCCCCCCCCCATGATCTCTTTTACTCTACTTATTTTATGTAGGGCAACAACAGCGGCAGACAGAGTGCTGTTTCATGTCCGTGTGTGTAACTGACAGATTCAAACAAAGCATTTAAAATGTATGTGTGGGGGGGAGTGGAGTGCCAGGGAAGTTGCAGCTTAAGGAATGTGGGCAGTAAATGACCCTTGACCTCCTTTAGGGATAGCCATATGTGGTCCCGGCCCATGGTAAAGTCATACAGTGCAACTTGTTAACGGATTGCTGAAGACAAAAAAAAAGAAAGTCGATTTTTCTGAGAATTAATTAGAAAGTTTGGATTTTTATGATTGTTTTGCAGTGAAAATATTTGTCTTGGTACATAACATGGATTACATTGGACAGAAATAGCAGTCAAATAAAAATAAATACGTTTTTTTTTGTATTTACAGCAGGACATCCTGAAAGTGTACAGATGATATGCCTTATATCTAAAAAGACTAACAATTTTCATTATTGTTATTACTACAAACTTGCATTTTAATCATCAATTGAAGCTACATTTCAAGCAACTCCCTCCATTGGTCTTGATTTCCATTCAGTGGTTTAGAAAGTGTGGTTCAAGTTTTAAAAAGAGCTCGCGTAAATAACTCTATAGTGCTGATTATTATGAGAGGAGAATGTCAAGTCAGGTTTCATCACAATTTTGAAATCCAAAGTTGCAAACGTCTGCTTGAACTGCACTGAACCCTTATGGAATAAGCCCCTTCAAGTGCATGAATGAAAAGCCTGAGTCAGCCCGCCCGACTGCATTGATTAGAAAAAACGAGACGATCCAATTCAGTTCTCCCCAGCTCACAGCCCTTTATATCATTTCGACGTAATAAAAACGTGCCAAGGCGGTGAATGGGAAAGCAGTAACTTCATTTATTTTGTGAGCTGAAGCTGAAAAACAGCCGAAGCCACAGACTTTAAACAACAACAAGACACGTAGGCGTTCAAGCTAGTCCCTCCTTATCTACAAACACTGCATCTTATTTGATACAACATTTTGAAGACACTTTGACATTATTTGACTGCAAAGCGTTCTGTGGTGTCAGCCCCATGAGTGTGATACAAATGTTCAAATAAACATGCACATTAATGATGAACACTTCAAAAGTATATTTGACATGGTATGCTCTATTTCAAATAAATTGTTGTGCAGAACATGTGCAATAAGAGAAAAGGAAGTTGTGCGTCACTCAGTATGTCCTATGTGAAACTGCAGCTACTTGTTTCCATTTCGGTTAAATGTTCTTTAGCAATGGCCTTATTTTATAATTAATGTCAAGAATAACTTTGTTTTGCTAGTAAAGTTACAAAAAGGAAAATAAAAAGGTCTAAATAAAATAATTTTCATTTTTCTGGTCAGTGAACAATTAT